CCCCGGTTCAAAAAAAAAAAAAAAAAAAAATCAGAATACTTACATTTACACCTTAAATTTGAAGAGTAAAAGTTTCATATTATTGTATTAATATGATCAGAAATTCTTACCAACAGGTTCTGAAAGTTCCATGCTAACAGCTGAATTTGAACCTATAAAAGAGATTGAGATATAACACATACTTACAAAATATTTAGCTTCACCATAAATACAAAGAACACTGAGTCACAAAAAACTACCGTTACCTTCACACAATGACTGTTGCTCTTCAGAGGACTCCACAGGTACTGTTTAAAAGAATTAAGTTCTATTATAAGACCTACACATCACTTTACTTTTATTATCAGTAAAAACAGAACTTCAATAATACCCCAAACCTCAATAATCAGACCCTACGGGATGGTCAAATAGCTCAGTGGATTAAAGAACCTGCAAACAGGCACAGGGGCTGAGGTTTGATCCCTGGTGCTGGTGCCAGGGTGCGCTGAGATGGGAAATTGAGACTGGGTGTGGTGGCACACACCTGTAATCCCAGCTCTTGGGAGGCTGTAAACAGATGGATCACTATGAGTCTGATCTAGTAGTGAGACCCTGAACACCCTGTAGACCCTCCCCTAAAATACAAAACAAACAAAAACACTCATACCAAGGGAAGCTAATTCAGGTTTTCAAATAAATCTGTATAACCTTTTTTTTTGGCAGAATCGGGGATTGAACTCAGGCTACTGAGCCATCTCCCCAGCCCCTGTATAACCTACTTTTTAAAAAAAAAATGTACCAATTACACCAATTTTCAGTAATTGAAAATGTATTAATAAAAGAATGCTTATTCTCTTCTTTAGCATCTTCCCTTCACAGAAATTGCTGTTATAAACAGCCCAGCACAGATGAAATTAGCTGGATTTGCTCTACATCTCTACTTTTATAGATTCTAACTTGTTAACTCAGTAGACCAAGAAAGTTATGATTAGCACTTTATAAGATTCCACAACAACCTTCTTTATTTTTATTATTTTTGAGGTTCTCATCACTATGTAGCCCAGACTACCCTTGAACTCACTGCACAATGGTATCAGAATTATCTGTGTTTTTTTTCAAAGTTTTGCAAATGCAACCTTTTCCCTCCGTCAAATAGCCCCTACTGATAAATCTCTAGAAAGTATGATGGCCAGGCACAGTAGTACATGTCTGACACTTGTAATCCCAGCACTCAGCAGGCTGAGGCAGGAGGACCACTGTGAGTTTGAGGCTAGCTTGGGGTACAGAGTGAGTTCAAAGGCAGCCTAAACTGCATAGTGATTCTGTCTCAAAGAAACAAACAGAGCCGAGGAGATGGCTCAGTGGAATAAGTGCTTCC